GGACTCTCCCTCTTATCATGGGATTCCATCATCTCAAGAAACCCAGCCTCCCTGGGGAAAAATGAGATCAAATGAAAATTGCCTCTTGTTAGGCCTCATGCTGAGAAGGCTCACTGCTGGTTAGACAGGACACCAGCCAGGCAACTCCAATCGCGGCTGATCTCCTTGCTGGATGAAATCAACCCAGCCCCTGGCATGGAGAATGACCAACCCAGGTATCCCTATTGAGGTAACAGAGGAACTAGATGCAGTTTGCGTTCACTGCAAATGGTGTAGTGGCTAAACGGTGGCCCCAGAGGCATGTCGACATCTGAGTCTCTGGACCTGTAAGTGCTGTCTTATTTGGGAAGAGAGTCTTTTGCTGATGTAATGAACTTAAGAATCTTGTGAAGAAGAGGTCAGGGGATCATCCTAGATTACTCAGGTGGGCCCTAAAACCAATGGTAAATGTCTTAATTAACATCCTGAGAAGAGAGGGGGCGGGTATTTGAGACAGACCAAAGAGAAGACAGACACACACAGAAGACAAGGTGACATAAATACAGGGGTGGCTTAGTCAGTTAAGTGGCCGACTCTTGGTTTCAGCTCGGGTCATCATCTGACAGCTCATGAGTTTGAGCCCAGCCTCGGGCTCTGTGCTGACAGCATGGAGCCTGCTTGGGATTCTCTCTCTCCCTCCCTCCCTCTATGCTCCTACCTCACTCGTTCTCTATATCTCTCTCAAAGTAAATAAATAAACATTAAAAGAAAAGCCAGGAGGTAGACATTGCAGTGATGAGGTCACAGGACAAGGAACCCACAGTTATAAGAAGCTGGAAGAGGCAAGGAACTCATTCTCCCTTAGAGCATTCAGAGTGAGTGAGGCCCTGCCGATGATTCGGTTTCAGACCAAGAAACTTCATTGTTCTATATCCATGGATTCCGTTGTGCCCGACGCATGTATGACATACTCCTTATAATCCATAAAAACCAGGAAGGAGCAGATAGATACACCTTATGTCTTATTAAGACACCCACATGCCAGAGCACGGGAGATAAACCCCATAAAAACTGGGGAGCCATCACCTCAAGGAAGTTACTGAGAATCCGATAGTCTGAGGTCAGTGGGAATACCCCATTCAGACGGAGGTGCTGCATCTAGAGGTCCCTTTGCCACTAATGAATGAGATAAAAATCTCCACTGAAGGAGTAATTCCTCAGCCTGCTTTGTGCTCACATATGAGGCACTCATAAAACTGTGGATGAATGAGTGAATTTCAAATGGACCTAGAGTATGGAAAGATCTGTGTGATGTTGATATAACAGAGCCCCTTAAAACATTTGTACTTCCTGACTGGTAGGAGAGGAGAATCTTTGTTATTCAATATAAGCCCCTTTCAACCACACCTGAGTTTATGCTAGTGAGATGAGTCTTGGTGAGCCCCTAGGTGGCCGGCGCAGGATGGGGGCTGGATGCCTGAGAAACCAATCCTGAATTGGACGGTTGGAATTTTCAGTGACCATCCTATATAATGGAACTTCCATAAAAATTCCTTTTTTAAAAAAATTTTTGGGGGGTGCCTGGGTGGCTCAATCAGATGGGCATCCAACTCCGGCTCAGGTCATGATCTCACAGTCCGTGGGTTCGAGCCCTGCATAGGGCTCTGTGCTGACAGCTCAGAGCCTGGAGCCTGCTTCAGATCCTGTGTCTCCCTCTCTCTCTGGCCCTTCTCTGCTCATGCTCTGTCTCTCTCTGTCTCTCAAAAATAAAAAAATAAACGTTAAAAATTTTTTAAAAAAATTTGGGGGGCGCCTGGGTGGCTCAGTCGGTTAAGCGTCTGACTTTGACTCAGGTCATGATCTCACGGTTCATGGGTTCAATCCCTGGTCAGGTTCTGTGCTGACAGCCCAGAGCCTGGAGCCTGCTTTGGATTCTGTGTCACTCTCTCTTTCTCTGCTCCTTCCCTGCTCATGCTCTGTCCCTGTCTCTCAAAAATAAATAACCGTTAAAAAAATATATTAAAACAAAAAGAAAGGAAGGAAGAGTATGTGAGTGGGGAGACGCAGAGAGAGGAAGACACAGAAACCAAAGCAGGCTCTAGGCTCTGAGCTGTCAGTACAAGAGTCCAGACTCAGGGCTTGAACCCATGAACCATGAGATCATTACGTGAGCCCAAGTCAGTTGCTCAACCGACTGAGACATCCATGGGCCCCTCCTTTTTTTTTTTTTTTTTTTTTAAGAGACAGGGGATTTTTATTTTTATTTGTTATTTTTTTTTAAGTTTATTTATTTATTTTGAAAAGGAGGAAGTGCATGCTAGCAGGGGAGGAGTAGAGAAAGAGAGAGAGAGAGAATCCCAAGCAGGCTCTGTCTGAGCAGAGCCCAATGTGGGGCTCGGACTAATGAACTGTGAGATCATGACCTCAGCTGAAATCAAGAGTCGTACGCTCAACTGACTGAGCCACCCAGGTGCCCCCTATAAAATTCCTCGATAACGGGTTTCTCAGAGAGCTTCCTGCTTGGTAAACACATCAAGGTGCTGGGAGGCGGCCTGCCTACCATATTTTGCCCTATGTGTCTCTTCTATTTGGTTGTTCTCGAGTTGTATCCTTTGCTTTATGTTTTGTTTTGTTTTAAAATTTTTTAACGTTTATTTATTTTTGAGACAGAGAGAGAGCACGAGCTGGGGAGAGGCAGAGAGAGAGGGAGACACAGAGTCTGAAACAGGCTCGAGGCTCTAAGCTATCAGCACAGAGCTTGATGCGGGGCTTGAACCCATGGACTGCGAGATCATGACCTGAGCCGAAGTCGGACGCTTAACTGACTGAGCCACCCAGGTACCCCTGTTTTGTTTTAAAATTTATTTACTTATTTTAGGAGAGAGAGAGAGCATGTGTGTGCATAAGAGCGTATGCACAAGTGAGGGAGAGGCAGAGAGTGGGGGTTGGAGAGAGAATCCTAAGCAGGCTCCTCCACATCAGCACAGAGCCTGATGCGGGGGCTCGATCCCACCCCACAAACCTTGAGATTATAACCTGAGCCAAGATCAAGAGCCAGACGCTTAACCAACTGAGCCACCCAGGTGCCTCTTGAGCTGTGTCCTTTGAAATAAATCAGTAATACTAAGTAAAGTGCTTTCTTGAGTTCTGTGGGCCATTCTAGCAAATTATGGACCCCAAAAAGGGGGTCGCGGGAACCCTCAATTTATAGTCAGTTGGTCACAAGTATGGTGTGCCTGGGACTTGGATTGGAATCTGAAGTGAGGTGGGTGTGCGGGGTCTTGTGGGACTGAGCCGGTAACCTGTGGGGTCTGCACTAACTCCAGGTCACAAGGTACCCAGAATCAAATGGAATTAATTCATTGGTCCCGCACCTGGCTGGCTCCGTCAGTAGAGTGTACAACTTGTGAGTTCGAGCCCCATGCTGGGTGTAGAGATTACTTAAAGATAAAATCTTAAAAAAAAAAAAAATCGGACACTTGGTGTCTGAAGGGGTAGAGATTGGTTGTCAGTGTAAAAAAAAAACCTATAGGGGCGCCTGGGTAGCTTAGTCGGTTGAGCGTCCGGCTTTCGCTTAGGTCATGATCTCGCAGTTCGTGGGTTCGAGCCCCGCGTCGGGCTCTGTGCTGACTGCCAGCTCAAAGCCTGAAGCCTGTTTCAGAGTCTGTGTCTCCCTCTTTCTCTGATACCCTCCCCTGCTCACGCTCTCTCTCTCTCTCTCTGCTAGAAATAAATAAAAATATTAAAAGAAAACCCTATATATTTGGTGTCACATGCATCAGGACTCAAAAATTGCACATAATCTGTACCCAGGTGAGCCATTCTCCAAAATGCTATTAGGCCATCTGGCAGCTCAGATGACCTCACGTGGCTCAGCATCCCTAGTGCTGGCTCAGTGGGGTCAAGAACAAAGTGGCCATGGAGGGCTAGGCTCAGATTCACCCCAGCAAAGCCCAGTCAGCTGCGGCACTGGCAAAGCCTCCCTGTCCCCTCCAATGTTGTACGTTTCCTAGGAAGACCAAATGCCTGGTAGCCTGAGAATTACACTGGGCTCCTTCGGTCGTGAATGGGGCGATGACTCCTTCCTCCCTGGAATAATTAAATCTGGGCTGTTGTTTGCTTTACTTGCCTTACCCATCCCTGCCAACAGCCGCATCTATGCACCCGCTGAATGGCCCTATTCACCCTCATGTTCACTGTCACACAATATTGCTTCTGATCAAGGAGCTCCATTTACTAGGAAGTCGGTAGGGGGGTCCAAGCACCCCGTCACCCCAAAGCAGCTAGCTTCCCAGAACAGAGGTGCAGCCTGTTGGAGGCTGGAATTCGGTGCCAGGTTGGAGACAACATCCTCCGTGTGTGGGGTGCTGCCCTACAGGATGGGTAAACACTCTGAACCAAGGGCACGTCCATGATGCCAGGAGCCCTAAGGTATCACTTCTCAAAGTCACACCCAGTGACTCATTTTTTAAACGTGTGCTTCCTCTTCCTGTTGGCTGAACTCTGCTGTTGGGGGGCTTTAGGGCCTCAAGGAAAACCCTTCCACCAGAGAGCACAACATAGTAAATTGTGTGAGTGGAGGCCACTCCTGAACTATCTGGGGTATCTCAGGAGGGCCACTATGGGGTCAGGCAAAGACAGTGACTGATTGGGGCAGGGAGCAGGACACGGATGCCCCTTCACCAGGGGCCATGAAGGTGTGTGAGTGGAGCCTGGGGACCGCCCTGGAGAACCTCCAGCTCGCACCATGCGCTGACTCCTCAGGCAGGGCCTGATGCCAGGCTCACGGAGACCCCTTCCCCTACGCAGGGCACAGGACAGAGAGTCTGTGCTTATGCCCTCTGCATGGGCACAGAAGCGGGCATGCAGGCTCCACACCCCTCCCACCCCATCCCACAAGCCCCCTCTTCTGCCGCGCTCAAGGCGTCCAGGGCCCCCCCAGCCCCTCCCACCTCCGTAGGGCACGCAGCCCGCCAGACAGGGCTCCCGGACCCCTCCCGACCACCCCACCCAGTCGCGACTGGCGCGGACGGGTCTCAACCCTCCTTGGAAGGCACCGGCGGCAGCAGAGCCCGGTTAGCTCGGAGTCACGGGCCGTCCGCAGCCGCTGCCCAGGCCCCGCCCAGAGGCCGCCGCGAGCGAGGCCGCGCCGGGACGGCTGCAGCGCGGTGAGTGAGCGGGGCAGCTGGGAGGGTCCCAGGCGTCCGGGCGCCGCCCCGCCCCACCCCGGGGGCACCCCGACCTTCCGCTCCTGCGTGCTTCTAGACCCTGTGACTTAGGGCGCCCCAGAGACGGCCTAAGGACCCCGGGCCGCGGGCACACCAGCTCCTTGGACCCCTCCCTTCTTGCAGGATCAGAAATCGGACGCCCCCAGCAGCATAACCCCCTACCCCCCCATCCCCTCACCCCCGGCTCGGCCCTCCTCGAGCTTCCGAGCCCCTCCCTCTCTCGGAGAGCCAGGAATGCAGGCCAGAAATATCTCCAAAAATATCCCTCTGCTCCAGACCCAAGAGGCTCGGCTTGCAACCGCATCTGAGAAGATGAAAACCCAGCAGCGTGAGCTTTGATTGCTTTTTGCGTCAGGAACCTGGACCCCCAGCCTAGGCGTCATTTGGAACCCGGGAGTCCTTGCTCCGACTCCCCCCGCCCTAGATCCAGACATTTCGCTGTCAACATCCCTTCCCCCGCCCCCATCGACTGTGAGCCGGGACCCAGGAGTCCCAGTGTAAATGAGGATTTGGGGACCCAGGAGTCGGGGACCTCAGCCCAGCTCTTAAAGCCTAGGGATCGGCTCGTTCAGAGACCCTGGCCCACGGACCCCATTAAACTGACAGGCCACGGGCCCCAACCCTCCGCGACCCAGATGTCCAGGACTGCATCCGGCCTAGAAGAGCCCGGCTGCAGCAGACAAGGAGGAGAGGGGGCCGGAAGAGAGAGGGAGAACTGAGTGAGGTGATACTGGGGTGGGAACCCGGGCTGGGGGCTCCGTCCTAAACACACGCTAAACACACGGGTTGCCATGGCAACGGCCTTCCCGGGCCTCCCCTGGAGACCGCGCTAGGGCCGAGTCGGGGAGGGCAGCCCCCAGGAGCCCCCACACCGCCAGCTGTTGTGTCTTCCTGTTTTGTCACCACGGCAACAGTGACCTCAGCCCTGCACTCCTCCACCCCCCCACTCCCCACTGGCGGGGCCCCAGGGCCTAGGTCCATTTATCCCCGGAGGGGCGTGGTCTCCTCCTGGCTCCGCCTCCGGGGTGGGCCTGGGATACCCCTGGCTCAGGGAGTCCCTTTCTCAGCCCAGGCCCCGCGCTCGCGCCGGGTCCCCAGCCCCGCCCCCGGCCCCGGCCCCGCCCGCCAACCCCACCCAGTAAGCAAACCCTTCCAGTCTGCAGCTGTCGCTTCTGTCTCAGCAGCAGCCGCCACAGCCCGAGAGGTGAGGCTGCGGGGACCCCCGGCGCGGCGCGGACGCTGCGGTCAGGGTTCCTGGGTGCAGAGGGAGGAAAGGGCTGGGGTTCCGAATGTCTGAATGTCTAGAAAGACTGGGGCATGGATCAGGACTCGGGTTCTGGAGAGGAGAGGGCTTCAGACCTGCACTCTTACAGGTCATGCATCTGAAAGGGGAGGGGGCTCGGGGCCTGGACCCCTGGGTCTGAGGGAGGAGGGGCCGGGGGCCTGGACCCCTGGGTCTGAGGGGGGAGGGATGGGGACTCCTAAGTGTCCTGGTTGAAGGAGGCTGAAATCTACTAAGAGGAGGTTCTCATGAGAGGAGGAGCTTGGAGTTGGGAGTTTGGGTTTGAGAAAGAGAGTGGTCTTCCCTACTTCCCACCCCTCCCTTCTGGAGACAGAATTCGAACTTTGGGCCAAACAGGCGGTGGGCTGAGGTCCAGCATCGTGCTCCCAAAGGCGAGGACGAAGCTGGGGAGCTGGTGACCTAGGCTGGGAGAAGCCAAGCCTGAGGCCAGGGTCCTTGGGTTGCTGAGAGCGGAGGCTGGGGTTCGGGGACCCGATGCTGAGTGGTGGGGTGTGGTGCTTGGCGTGGAGGTGCAGAAGGGATGGGGCGTGGCCGCGGGAGTCCTAAGCGGAGCCGAGAAGCTGAAGGGGTGTTTCCTCTCCCTCTACGCGTCTTCGGCGGCGCATTCCTGAGTTCTGACCTCAGGCGGCGGCTGGAGGCACGGAGGGTGGAGAGGGTCCCCCCTCCCCTCCGGGTGGTCCCTGCATCACCCACCTCCCTCCTTAGGCACTTCTGGGGTTGTGGCTCGCCCTTTTCCTCTTCCCCTGCTCGGGACCCGGCAGAACCCGCTTTCTAGGGCGCGGGAGTGCAGGCCGGCCGCGACTTCCTCCTAACGGGCTCCCCAAGGGCGTGGCGGGGAGCTAGGGGCGGCCGTCTCCCGCCTAGCACCTCCCAGGTGGCCCCGGAGGCCCGGCCCCCGCCGGGAGACCTGACTTCCGAGGGCTGGTGGGAGGTGTGGCCGCTAATCTCCGGACTGGATTCCAACCCCGCAGTTTCCAGCTTCGAGGCTGGGGGCGCTGGGGCGGCCGAGGTTCCCGCAGGCGAACCCGGAGGTTCGGGGTAGGGTCCTCCTCTTGGGGTCCAGGCTCCCAGCTCATGCTCTAGGGACCCAGGACTCACATTTTGAAGGCCCCAGAAATTCAGGCTTCAGGGCTCCCCTGCTTGGACCTGGAGCCTGGACACCCCGCCCCCCACCTTCCCCGGAATCCACAAGTGGTGGGGCGATCTCGGAGGCGGGGGCGGGGTCCCAGCACCGCCCCCTGGTCCCCGCCACATTCCAGCGGGCCGGGCTGACTCGAAGCCCTTATAAGGCCCGGAGACGCGGCGCCCGGCCCGGCCGCCCGCCCCCGCAGCCCCCGCCCAGGGCCCTCCCGCCGGACGCCCACGCCGGCCTGCGCGCGGGGCGTGCACTTTCGCCGAGTTCCTTCCACTCTCGCTTCTGCTGTTTGGGGACTTGGCGACGGTGCGGGGGCGGGACTCACCCGGGGTCACCTCCGGGACCTCTCCGGGCCGGAGGCCGAGTCCCCACCCTGGCTGGGAGGGCGCCGGGGCTGCGGAGGCCGGGCGCCTGGGTCCCGGGAGGGCGGGGCCGGGCTGAGCGGAGCGCTGACCCCCCACTTTGCTCTGACCGGCCTTTTCCAGGTGTCTGACCTAATCCACCTCCGGAGCCGGATCCTTCTGCGTCGGCGTCCTCCGCCAAAACAGCCGGTGAGTGGGGGGGCCTGGACCCCCGTATCTGAGCGAGGAGGGGCTGGGGGCCTGGACTCCTGGGTCCGAGAGAAGGACCTGGGAGCTTGGCTTCCAAGGAAGGAGACCCAGGCACCTGTGGACCCGAGGAGAATGTGTCCGGAAGCTGGGCTCCTGTGTCCTCAGGGCCTCTCGTAGGGGCCGTAGGTTAAATAAAGCCTGTGCTACTGCCTGACCCTGGAAGGAGGAAATTTTCTTTCCCTGTGGCTGAGAGAGGCTTTCCGATCTTTCTAGAGTGGAAGTGAGAGATTAGATGGTTTAGGGATTAGGGATTAGATGGCCTGAGGCAGGATTTGGACACCTCGGCCCCGGGAGGCTGGACCCTCTCTGCTCCTGAGGGTTTGTAGGACAGCGGAAGAAAGAAGTGGGTTTCCCAGACCACAGGTGTCCGGTGTGCTCAGGTGTCTGGGCCCAGGCTGAGGGCCCAGAGTCCCGAGGTCTGAAGCTCAGTTAACAGGACGTGAGAGGCCTGGAGGTTTCCAAGGAAGGGGCGGGGCACTAAGAGTAGAGCTTCTCCAGTTGGGGAATTTGGAGGCTGGACTCCGTGTGGGGGAGGGGGAGAGGCAGGCGGAAGCTTATTGTCGCTGGGTGAAGTACTCCACACCCGAATGCCCAGAGGGATTCAGACTGAGGGCCCAGACTCTTGCCCTGACGCGAGAGGGTGTGCTGTCTGCGGGAGAGCTCAGATCCAGTTCCAGAGGGTGGAGGCTCTGGTCACCTGTGGTCGCCTGTGAGTCCCAGAGAGCGTTCTCACACATGGAGGCTGGACTCTTGAATGTCCCGGAGGCTGGAAATGCCTGCTGGGTTATAAAAGGAAGGCGGGCGCCGGAGCAGGGGGAGCGGAGCCCAGTGAAGCAGGGGCCTCTTGTGGTCTGACACGCGCCGAGTCCCCAGGGGAGGCCGAGTCCCCAGGGGAAGGACGGCAGTTGTGAGGGTCTGGGGTGGTTGCAGAGAGAGGGAGGAAGCAGACAGTGCCCTAGACTCCTGGGTTCTGACACAGGACGTGGGAGACCCCCCCGTCAGGACCGAGGAGGGGCCTGGCACCTGGGTGACCCACTCATCCCCATAGGCCTGCCACGTCCACCCCCTCCCCCAGCTCGAGTCCTTTGTCCCCGGAGGGGGGGGGTTGGGGGCCTGGATTCCCACATCTGGAACCTTCTTAGGACTCTTCCTTTCCCCCCTTCCCAGCCATGCCGGTGACGGTGACCCGCACGACCATCACCACCACCACGTCGTCCTCCTCAGGCCTGGGCTCCCCAACCATCGTGGGGTCCCCTCGGGCGCTGACCCAGCCCCTGGGCCTCCTCCGCCTGCTGCAGCTGCTGTCCACCTGCGTGGCCTTCTCACTGGTGGCCAGCGTGGGTGCTTGGACGGGGGCCATGGGTAACTGGTCCATGTTCACCTGGTGCTTCTGCTTCTCCGTGACCCTCATCATCCTCATAGTCGAGTTAGGCGGGCTCCAGTCCCGCTTCCCCCTGTCCTGGAGAAACTTCCCCATCACCTTCGCCTGCTACGCCGCCCTCTTCTGCCTCTCGGCCTCCATCATCTACCCCACCACCTTCGTCCAGTTCTTGTCGCACGGCCGCTCCCGGGACCACGCCATCGCCGCCACCGCCTTCTCCTGCATCGCCTGCGTGGCTTATGCCACCGAAGTGGCCTGGACCCGGGCCCGGCCCGGGGAGATCACCGGCTACATGGCCACCGTGCCCGGCCTGCTCAAGGTGCTGGAGACCTTCGTGGCCTGCGTCATCTTCGCCTTCATCAGCAACCCGTACCTGTACCAGCGCCACGCGGCGCTGGAGTGGTGCGTGGCCGTGTACTCCATCTGCTTCATCCTGGCGGCCGTGGCCGTCCTGCTCAACCTGGGCGACTGCACCAACGTGCTGCCCATCTCCTTCCCCAGCTTCCTGTCTGGGCTGGCCCTGCTGTCTGTCCTTCTGTACGCCACCGCTCTGGTCATCTGGCCGCTCTACCAGTTCGATGAGAAGTACGGCGGCGAGCCGCGGCGGTCGAAGGATGTGAACTGCGCCAGCAGGCACGCCTCCTACGTGTGCTCCTGGGACCGCCGGCTGGCCGTGGCCATCCTGACGGCCATCAACCTGCTGGCGTACCTGGCTGACCTCGTGTACTCAGCCCGCCTGGTTTTCGTTCGGGTGTGAGGCTCCGGCCAAGGGCTCTTGACTCGCGCCTTGTGTCCAGGTTCCCATTTCCTCTTCCGGGCCCCCTCTCTTCCACCTTTCTCCTTTCCTTCCCAGTTCCTCTTGCTCTTTTCTGTGTCTTTCGCTCTGGTCTCCCCTCTCCTTTCCTTCCTGTTTTGTTTGGTTGCCCATACCCTGTTCTGCCCATTTGCCTCCTCCTGTCTTCATGCTCTTCTTTTCTAACCTGTTCTGCCTCTCGGCTCTTTTCAGGTCCTCTCGTTTGTTTTCTCATCCGCCTGTATCCTGGCCACCGCTTCCCGTTTCCTCGCTTCTGATTTCCCTGGGAGCTCCAAGACTTCTTTCTTCTCTGCCCCCACCTCCAAAGGTGCTGAGCTCCACCCGACCCACACCTCCTTCTGCAGCTGTATCCCGGGCCCTCCTGAGGGGCCTCGTTGCCAAAGCATGCCTGCCCGCCCTGGCTGTACCTTGTTGGTGTGTATGTGTGTGTTTGTGGGAGGTGGGGTGGGTGGCTAGGGATTTGGCTCTCTTTCTCCCAGTGGAGAGAGGTATACCATACAGGTCCCCGTTAAGTTAAAAAGAAGTCTCTGGAGGCCAGTGATTTTCCACTGGGCATGAGGCTTAAAGCACAGACAGACCCTGGGTCCCTGGGTCCTGCTCGACACCGAGCCTCACCTGAGACTGGCTCCAGGGTTTTTGCCAGGCTTACTGAGAACCCACTGCCTAAAGGCCACCTTAGAGGAAGTAAAGGGTGGATGTTTTCCATACCGACTGCTCTCTGCCTTATGGAGAAACCGTCCAAAGTATTTGTGAGGGGCAGGGATGTGGCCCTCCAGCCTCAGTGTTAAAAATAGCCCTTCCCACTTTTGCTGGGAGGAAAAAAAAAAAAAAAAAGGCCACTGCCTGCCTTAATGGCAATGCTAGCCCGGGTTGGTTTGGTTTTTTTTCTTTTCCTCTTCCTGGTTCCGAGGGCAAAACTTAGACTAAGTGGCCCTATTCTGAAAGGGGAAGTTGCTTTTCAGTTTCTTTTTTTGGGGGGTGGGCGGGCTGTTGCTGCCTTAGTCAGAGGGATTGCATTGCTCAGAGTGTGTGGTATACACACACAACACACACACACACACGTGTGTTTCTGTGTGCTAGTTGTTTCCTGTAGCTGCTTCCTTGCTTCTCTGGGACTCACACGCATATCATATATATAAATGTATAAATATATATTTTATTTTTTTTTAATTCCCTGGAGCTTCTGGTCCCTGTCGGTCCCTGCTGTCAGCCACAGAGGGAAGACTCGTCCGTTGCCCTACTCCCACATCCATAATGTTCTTTTTTTTTTTTTTTACATCAATATAAAGATAAAAGAAGAAAACTGTGCTTGCTTTATTACTGGAGGGCTCCAGGAGAGAAGGCAAGGCCCAGATACTTAGGACTGGTGGGAGAAGGGGACAACTTTAAGGTTTATTCATTTTTGTGAGAGAGTGAGAGGGTAGGGGTGGGAGGCAAGGGAGGAGCAGAGAGAGACACACACACTCACAGAATGTGAAGCAGCTCCAGGCTCCGAGCTGTCAGCACAGAGCCGGACGAGGGTTCGAACCCACATGCCGTGAGATCACGACCTGGGCTGAAGTTGGACGTTTAACCGACTGAGCCACCCAGGCGCCCCAGAAGGGACAATTTTAGCTTTTGGATCTCCCAATTTACTCTCAAGCCAGAACGAGTTAGGAGTGAAACAGACCAGATCTATCCTTCCTCGGAGTCCCATGAGCGCCTCAGAAATAGTGTCTGCATCGGGGTGCACTGTTTCTTCCAAAATCAACTCTCCACGTTTCCCATCTCAGGGAGACTCGGAGCTGAGAACCCGGGCACTGGCTTTTCTCTGATTTCTGTCAGTTGCTCACCAGACGCTGTCTGTCTATCCTTCCTCAAGTCTCCCCTTCTCCAGGCTCCTGACCTAGCTCAGGTATCGTTTTGTTTCTCCCCAGCCTCCTCCTGGACTAGCCCACCTCTAGCCCACCTTGGCCCCAGAGGGATGCTTCTAACATCCAGGCCTGATACTGCCCTCCCTGCTCAATTCCTTCCACATCCTACAATCCACATCCCAAAGCTCAGCCTGGGCCTTCAGGATCTGACCCTGCCTGCATCCCTATCCTCAGCTCCCTCTTTCCCTTAGTTCTAGGCTCCCTGACACAACTGGAACTGGTCCCTGCGGATTACTCCTACAATGACACTGTCCCACGGAAGTTCCTGTTGTCCGATTCTCCAGCCCAGGAGAATCACAAATCCCTAAACAGAAGCCCGCAAAAATCCCACGATCGTTCAACCTATTTTCTACACTTGGACCCCCCCCCCCCACAAAAGCAACTGGGGAGAGCAATCTCAAGGGAGGCGTGGGAGGGGACCCCCCCACCGGAGGGCGGAAAGGGGCTAACTGGAACAGAGGCGAGGAGAAGCCTCCTTTTGGTCTGTGCAGTGAGCACCCCAGAATTCCGACCTACACCGATGCCTGCCTCCTGCAAGGGCGTCTCGCCCCCTCCCCACCGCACCCCATGCTTGAACTCATTCTGGAAGGGACCAGAAAGAGCAGCTCTCCACCTCGGGGGTGGTGTGCTGGTGATGGAGGAAAGCAGCCAAGCCGATCAAGGTGGGAGTCCCAGGTCAGCTTTCGGGGCCACTCCCACCCCTACACTTGTCCTTGGGCAGGGCGCACGCCTGGAGGCGGCTAGCAGCCCAGAACGCCCCATATCTGGAGGGCTAGGAGGAGAGTCGGATTCCCTCACCTCCTCCTCGGCATCGGGAAGCCCGACCCGGACCTCCAAAATTCCCAGAGAAGACGTGGTGGGCTTCCCGGGTCTCCGCCGTGATGCCCCGCCCCCTATCGCGGGGCGCGCCGGGAAAGGAAGTTCTCGGCTGCGTCGCCGCCACAGGCGGTCCTCAGGCTCAGACTACAAGTCCCAGGATGCATTGCACTCGGCAGCCCGGGGAGGGCCCTGGTTGCCCTCGGCAACAGAGCGGGTCTCCGGGAGTGGGGACCCGGACGCGCGCGGGACTCGGAGGTGGCGAGTGGGGGCCGGAGCGCGACCTGGGAGACGCAAAGACGCGGGCAGAGGGGCGGGGGGGGAACCGCGGAGGCCGACAGCGATGCACCGGGCTCTCCAGAGCCGGAGGGGGACAGAGACGGAGCAGAGACACGCGGAGGGAGGGGGAGACCCCCGGAGACGAGGAGAGAGGTTCATGGCCAGAGAGGGCGAGAAGCGGATAAAGGTGGGGGCGGCCGTCGGGGTGCGGGGAGAAGGAGAGAGACGGAGACCCCCCACGACAGAGAGAGAGACTGACAGCCAAGGAGGGGGTCATAGAGGGTGGCAGAGACGAGGCCAAGTACTTCCAGAGACAGGGACGCGGGGAGAGGCAGGGAGACGCGGCGTCACAGATTGAGTTCCCAGTTGAGCCAGAGAGAGTCACAGAGCCAGAGACACACAGCCAGGAAGCGGGAGAGAGTCAGGGAGGCCGAGGGAGACTGACACAGGGAGAACGAGAGAGGCACCGGGCCCAGAGAGGGTCACAGGATGAGCGACACAGGAGACACACAGCAAAGCAAACAGAGAAACAGAAGCAGAGACCGAGAGAGCCAGGAGCCCCGGGAGGGAGCGGGCCGACCAGGAGCCAGAGATGGTTCCGGAGGGAGACAGGCCCAGGCACAGGAACCAAGGCGCGAGCTGCGGCCGAGAGAGCGAGGCAGCGGGTCTCCCCGCCCCCCGCTGGGTCCCCAGCACTGACCGCAAAGTTTGTGTAATGAAGCAGAGTGACACAGTCAGACACTCGAGACCCGAGCGGCGTCTCGGGGGCTAAGCCGACCCGCGGAGGCGCCCTCGTGGGGAGGAAGAGCGGGCCCGGCGGCACAGGAGGGGGGGCGGGGGGCGGGGAGGGCGCTGCTCAGATGCCCCCTCCCTCCAGCCAGCCCCCGGAGCGGGTGTGCGCACGTGTGTCGGGAGGCGGGGAGGGCATTTGTCCCGAGTCTCGGGGAGGGGGGACGCCTTTAAGCTGAAACCCCGCCCCTCGGTCGTCATGGCAACGCCTCCCCCCAGCCGGGGCTCCCACATTTCAGCAGGTGCTTGAGCTTGGAGCTCCCGCCGCCGCCGCCCTTGCCTCGGGCTCCTCGGCGCCCCTGCCCTCGGCTCTCCGCCCTGCCCGCCCGCTCCCCCTGGCGGAGCGGGCGCGCCCCGGGGTGCGGCTCCCTGCCCTGCGCTCCGCGCCCGGAGGTGCCTCGCCCCTCTCCTTCCCTGCTCGCAACCTCCCCGGGGCTCAGTGCTCTCCCGAGTCTCCGGCTCCTCGCCCTTCCACCTGTGTCCCCCTACAAGGCAGGATCCTGGTCCCTGCTACGTTCCTGGGGCCATGGCAGGCCTGGGCCCCGGCGGAGGCGATTCAGAGGGGGGACCCCGGCCCCTGTTTTGCAGAAAGGGGGCTCTGAGGCAGAAGGTGGTCCACGAAGTCAAGAGCCACAAGTTCACTGCCCGCTTCTTCAAGCAGCCGACCTTCTGCAGCCACTGCACCGACTTCATCTGGTGAGGGAAGGGGCTGGGGACCTGAGGGCGGAGGGGACGAGGGATAGAGACGCCTGTCACCCCACACCCGGAGTGCTCAGGAAGGAGAGGGCTGCAACCCTGGCTCCCGGTCCTAGGGCAGGAGGGGGCTGGGAACCCGGACCCCTGGGTCTGAGGGAGGAGGGGCTGGGGGCCTGGGCTCCTCGTTCTGAGAAAAGAAAGGCTGGGAGCCTGGGTTCCTGGGTCTGACAGAAGGGCTGGGGGTCAGAATTTCTGGGTTCCAGTAAACGAGGCAGCTGGGGGCTGGGGCTCGACTCCGAGGTCTTGCTACAGGAGGGAGCAAGACGCAGTATGGCCGGCAGAGGTGGGAGGCCCGGGTACCCTTTTCTGCACTGACCTCTGATCTTTGATCTTGCAGGGGCATTGGAAAACAGGGCCTGCAATGTCAAGGTAAGAGCTGGGAATCCGGACTCCTGGGACCCTCACTCAGGAGGGTGGAGGCTGGGGCCCCACAGCCTAAGAGGCTTGACACACGTGTTCTTTGGTCCCCAGAGAGGCGCGGGGGAGCCCGGGGCGGGGGGTGTGGCAGAGACACAGCCTGTGGTGGGGAGGGAGCTCTGACGGAGGGGCCACCGCGGAGGTGGTGCTGGGGGCCCCTCCCTCGGCCGGCTCCAGGTGGGGACAGATATTTGGAGAATCTGTTGCCATGGGAACAGGGAGATTTGGAAAAGGGGAGCTGAAAGGGGGGGCTGGAGATGCGAAGTCAGAGCCCCCCCCCCAAGCTGCTGTCGCCATGACAACACCAACAATCCTAGGCAGGGGCAGGCCCGGGCGGGGTCACCAATGGGCGGGTGGGGGCCGGGCGGGGCTGGCAGTTCTGGGGGGCGGGAGAGGGGGGCGAGTCCTAAAGCACCAGCTGCCACTGTTGAGCACAGAGTGAGTCAGGGAGGGGGAGGCCTGTAAAAGGCGCCCCCAGACTCACTTCTGCCCAAGTTGTTGCTCTCTCCCTTCTATCGAAGGACATCTCTCCTCCGTCTGCCTCTTTTCTTGCTTTCTTGTCACTGTCCATAGGATCCTATTTTCTCTCCGGGTCCCTGTCTCTCTGTCGTCCTCGCTCTGTCTCTGCGTCTCTGTGTCTCCCTTTGGCTGTGTGTCGGCACTGGGTTCTCTCTGCCCTGTGCTTCTCTGCATCTCTGTTTCTGTCTGTCTTTGGGTCCATCTCTTGAATTTCTCCTTCCTGGTTTTCCTCCCCCACTCCATGCTGGGGTCTCTCCTTTGATTTGCTCTCTATTGAGCTCTGTTTTGGGGTCTCCCTCTCTCTGGTTTTCTTTCTGTTAGGGTCTCCTTCTCTCTGATTTTATGTCCATCAGACTCGCTTTCTGTCTCTGTGTCTTTATGATTTTCCCCTTCAGTTTGCAGCTTTGTGGTTCATCGACGATGCCACGAATTTGTGACCTTCGAGTGTCCAGGCGCTGGGAAGGGCCCCCAGACGGATGTGAGTGCCCGGACACCTGATTCTTCCTCCTTGGGCCGCGCCCCCGCCCTCACCCCCTCGGCGTCCGTCCCAATTTCTCCTGCTATTTTTAAGGCTGGGAGGGGAGGGGGGCTGGAGAGATAGGGGGAGCTAGTCTGGCCCAGATTCCCTGCCCTTGGCCTGGAAAGGGGAAATGAGAGGGGCTGAGACAGGCTGGGGACATA